TTTTTTTTTTTTTGATCGCAAGGTTTTAGTGCTCTGACCTAACTTAAAAAACTGCCCAAATGAGATAAAAAAAACAATTTCTGAATTCCCTGATGATCTTGTTCGTTTTCATGTTTGCTGACTGTCACCATTCCGAAATTTTCGGACCATTGTAAGCTCGATTATAGATGACTCTCTGGAACTCTTTTATTAATGTCATAGTACCAAAAAAACTATATATTCTATGAGAAATATGTTAGATCCAAGTTTTATTGTGATTGGCTCGCTATCTTCGCGCACATTTAAATTGGCATGCCATGGCGCGCCCCATTTAGAAACACCATTGAGTGACTATTGTAACTACAGAACTATACATCGAACAAAATATAAAAAATCAAACTCTGTACGCTGTATTTGGATTCGTGACGATTGTAATTACCGAACTAATCATTACATTAACAGTTAAATATAAAAAAATCAAACTCTGCATGCTGTGTTTTGAATTCGTGATTATTGTAACTACCGAACTACATTACATCAAACATTAAAAATCACAACTCTGCATGCTGTGTTTTGAATTCGTGGCGCATTTATGTGTCACATAATTTGGGTTACTTTATTTAATAGACAAAATACAATACGAAAAATATAAAATAAGCAATATGATTTACTATAATGTCACGTGGTCCTATGACGCTTGGTCATAGCGATAGTGAAATTTAGGATAATTACACGTCAAACCAAAATGTTTATAATTGAGAGTTTAGCCCGAAACATTAATCTGTGAGACTACTAATTCTGTTACATTAGAATCTTTATCACTTCCATCTTTAACATTATTAACAGGTATTCCATCTTCATTAACATTTGCTACTTCTGATGTAGTCGGCACGGAAGTGACAATGTCAGTATGTGAAGGAGGAGATACGGAATTAGTGGTAGCAGAGGAAGACGGAGTATTTGCAGATAATTTAGAAGCTGGTTTTGTAGCAGAGGTTTTGAAGCCTGTTTGAAATTCTGCTGCAGACCAATCAGCAACAGTAAGTAGTTGTTTATGCTCATGCATATTCGACGTTGACCATTGTGCAGATGAATCCTATGCAAATTATTGAAAACATGTTAATTAAAAGGTCTTATTTAAAAATATGATATAAACTGAGACAATAAGACATACATCTTCATCACTATCCCCTCCAAAGTCGTCACCCAGCGATGATCGTCGATTTTCGAAATGATCACTCTACAATAAATAATAATAAATAATAAAATAAAATATGTTAAACAAGTAAGGTATAATGATTATCTAGGGATTTTTCACTACCTCTATCATATTAGGATTTGAGAATGGGCCGCGCATTTCGAAATCGACGTCCCTGTCGAAATCATCACTAAGTTGAATTAGTATTATTTTATAAATTGCCATAAAATTAAAAAACAGTGCATTTCTAGTATTATGTATAGACAGTTCTGATCGAAAACATTTATGCTCTATTACAATTTTCAAATACAAAATCTTTATAATACGAACCCCATCCATCCTTCTTCTTCGTCATCATCACTTTCATCAGATGAGCCAAATTTATCTGGTAGATCGTTTGTAATTTGTTGGCATAAATACCTCGCAAACTAAAATAAAATAATCTAATAAATATTCCAATAAATATAAAAGACATACTTTAAGAAATAACAAATAAAAGGACAAACCTGATCACTAGCCATATCACCGTCCGCAACAGCTTCACTGGTATCATCACCATCGTCGTCTTCGCTTTCTTCACGACTTGGTGACATACTATCATGATTACTTGGACGTTGCCCACCTAATGGTGCTCTATCTCGCTCTCTCGTCTCGCGCAATGTCTTGGATACATACTCCTGCCAATCTTCAGCTTCAATGTATTCTGATCCAATTGCAACAAGAAATTGTCATAATGTACATACGTACGTATGCATGTAAATAATGATTCGAAAAATTCAAACCTCTCACTTTCTCGCCAATTTCCACTGCATATCGATCAAGTAATTTTACAACTTCTTCAGCAATGAATGTTAGATGGCCCATGTAACCTAATCTCACACCTTTTGGCTGTTCACTACAAAATATTAAAGTAATTAAAAGAATAGCATTTAGCATTACAAGATGATATCATCTAACAAATTATTGAAACATACATTTCATAGTCATTTAATCTTTGTGCTTTTGTGATACGTTTGGTGAGTTGACCATCAGTAAAGACCTAGATGAAATACATTGACAAATTTTAATTAAGTTGATATCTATCAAAATTTAATTTAATTATTAATATGAACTTACTGAAATTGCCAAGGCTTTATTATATCCGATGTCCATTCGTCCATTGAATATTTGTGCGATCATATCATATACCACAGTATGTAAGAAATTATTCCATTTGAAGTTAAAGAAAAGGTCCTGAGATAATAAAACCAGAAGTTAAAAATTATATGTTACATAACAATTAATTAAATTAATTAATATCTATATTAATGAATCATTGTAACAAATTGCGCACCAAGCAAGTTGGTATAATTCTATATTCAATAAATTTAGATTTTAATATATCTCCGACTGGTAATTGTGATGAGTTTAGTCCGTTATATTGATTAAACTGAGAAACAGCTTCTAAACCCGGTGGGGCCTGTAAGTGTTCAAATATTGGAGATGCTACAGGTGTCGATTGTCCTAAATTGGAATCAGGTAAATTTGAATCCATTTGTTTCATATCATCAATATTCTGTGTTTGAAGTTCTGATATTTCTTGAAGTTGAAAAACTTCACCAATCACATTGGTTTGAGTCTGAGTATAATCCTTTTCTTGACTTTGAAAGGTATCCTGTGTTTGAGTTGCCCGATCATAATCCTTTTTTTGTATTTTGTAGACATCCTCCACACCACTTGTTTGAGTTGTTGAATCATAATCATTTTCTTGGATTTGAAAACTTTCATCTTTTTCTTTGATTTGAAAAACTTCCCCAACTTCATTTGTTTGAACAACTTCCTCAATACAACTTGTTTGAACTGTCTGACTATTATCTTTTTTCTGCATTTGAAATACTCCTCCGATCTCACTCGTTTGAGTAATCGGATTATAATTTGAATAATCATCATGTTTTAATTCATAAAACCCATTAACAGGTATTTCTTGTCTGACAACATTTAACAAACTCATGTTGGAACAATGCAATAATTCTGCAAAAAGTTCGCAAATCCTAAATCTTTCGAACCCAAGAGGTACCATTTTACCTATCGTTGTATCTATTTGTCCTGACTTTTAAAAATTCGTTGAATTAGAAAACATATATTACACTCGTAAACAGTTAATTACATCATACCACTGATTTGGGATTTTCAAGCAACGATTTGAAATCTCCTATTCGGTTAGCTAATACTCGTAACATGTCGCTTAAATCAACAACAGGGTGTGGTTGATGCGGAGACAATGTAGGAGTTGATTCCTCATTGAAATCGCTAAATTTAGAAAATCAGACTTATAGATGAACCCTTTTTTTTCTGCGACAAGGCATTAAAGAGCGCAATACAATAATAAATCATCATATATACCAATTGTTTTTTTGAATTATCTGCATAAGTATGTTCACTCCATTAGTCAAGGAAGATGTTGAATTCGGAGCCTCCGGATCAAGCATATAATTGACAAGTCGAGACACAGTTTTTTCACTGTTATAAACACATGTATTTATTAATTAAAGATTAAATATGTAAAATCATTCAAAAGCATACCTGATTAGTTCTCTACTTAATGCATTTGGCCCAACGCCACCTTGTTCGGGATTACTCGATTGAGAAATAGTAATTATGTCTATTAGAACTTGTGCCGTAGTTGAATGAACCTAGAAACAAGAATAAGGCATTAAAATAAAGATCAAATCCAATGCAATAAACATTAAATAAATATATTACGTCAGGATCAAGATGTGGATCCAGTCGAGAAATTAGTGCTTCAATAAGACCCTCGGAATTCAGCCACTAAAGTATAATAAGAATAAAATTATTTTTGAATAAAATATTGATACGAATCAACCTAGGATTTGATACAATTACCACTAACATCAATAACCCCAGCCCCTTCTGGGTACTCCTCATAGCTAATAAGTTTGAGCAATAAATCCATAATAGCAGATGTCTCCATATGATTTAACATTTTTTTGACAACATTAGGAATAGATTGGATAAATTTTACCATCTAAGATTGACCATCTGTCAGTAATATTATATATATATTTAAATTTAAAAATTTGGGTCATACCTCAATCATCTTTTTTTGCAAGAATACTATGTTGACTTTCGTAAAATAACTCGCTTGCAAAGAATTTAATGGTGCAGGACGGTCAAGAAACTGCCAAAATGCATTGAGCAAATCTACATTATCGATGACAGTTTCGCAAATAGTCCAAATTTCACAGGAAAATACTTCGCACGCAACGTATGGATATCTTAAAAATACAATAATTTATATCCACAAATAACATGATATAACAATAAGCATTTATCAACCGGCTAACATGTACTAATTTATGTCAAAATTGACATACTTGAATCTTTGTCTCTCGTCCAGATCGTCACGAATTATGTAATTCAACAATTGAGAAAGGATTATTGGATCGCGGAGACTATTATACAGTAAATAATAAACGGTGTTAAGGATAATGTAAGAAAAAATTCGATTTACTTTCTGAGTGCCCTTTTAATATACATCTATATATAGCGCTGAAATCTTCATTACTTAGTCGAAAACGACTTTGATAGTAAAGAAATTTTTATTAAGTTAAAAAAAGGATACTATTCAACCAGCTTGTTGTTATGTGCTTTGCATTCTTGAAGTAAATCATCCTCGTCTAACAATTCTTCTAATGTAAGATCTTCTTTATCCAAAAGTCCATCAATTGCTGAATTTATGCCAAATCTCCAGAACATTTTAGTCGCAGTTTATGTTATTGATCGGAAAGCTTTATTTTTTGTTTTGATAAGTAAATAGATAAAAACTGACATAATTACTAGTTTTTTGCATTACGATATCAATGATGTCATCATACTCGACTGGTGACAATCAAAATTAGTGTATCACATTTTTATTAAAACATTTTGCAAAATATCAAATATATCGGTATATACTGTATATATATGGGCTGCCGTCAATAGAAATCAAGCAGATCTACATTTGAAAAAAAATTAATGCCTTAACTTTCACAGCTCAT